AGATCTGCATTTGTTTTGTCTTTTCATTTCCTTGAAATTCGACTTCGACTTGTCCCGGACTTCTTTTCGTCGTTTTGCATGCCATAATCCTTGTGAAAATAGTCTCATTTACTCGCTGAATGAAGACTACTCAAGGCTCTAAATTTTCTAGAGACCTTTTCTTCATACATTCTAAGTCGATTCAAAGTTGGATTGTCCGGCAATTCGGTTTCAAAGTCCGATTCAACAACTTCCCACGATAGCAGACCCTCGAGATATGCTTCCATCTTCATAGACCACACATGATAATTTTCTCCAGTGAAGATTGGAGGAGAAAGCGCAAAAATACTACCGCTTGTAGCCATCACAAAAATCACTCAAATCTATCAAGTGTTTATGGTTTTTTAAGTGAGGTTTTCTTATTTGTTTTCTCTTACACACGATCCTATAAAGATCAATTGTAACTCGATACCGGATGTAGGAAGTTTCGGTATTTACGTATGAAAGAAGAAGAAGATAGACAAAAAATGAAAGGGAACTTTATTTTTCATTACTACAGAGATATATTTATATTGATACAAAAGTATAAGTCAATACCAAATTTTCATAATTTAAGAAGATTTGTTCCCGTGTCTAAAGTTGAAATTAAGTTCCACCACAAGTCATTCAAACTTCGATACATTCATTAATTGTATTATAAAATATTCAAAAACAAAAGGAACAAAATCGATGCAAGATCCGGTGCATGGCTTTATATCGGTACGTGATCATGAACAATAAACTTCATCAACTATGAACTAAAAAACACGGATGTGACATAAATAATTAACAATAATCATGTCACGGATACACACAATGTAGCTTCATGTGAACAAGCGTAACTAAGAGGAAAACTACAGATTGGAAACCAACGAGTTCTCAATGGCTATAATTAGCTCGATATCATACTTTCGAGTACTTGCCGCTTACAAAAAATCTCCTTGTAAGTTGTAACTTTGGAAGTTCAACCTAGAATGTTTCTAGAGAACTTGTCAATGTCATGCTACATGTAACGAGTTTTTTTCCCAAAATAGGATACTTTTTAATCTTATTTCTTATAATAAGGTAGTCTTAAACTTATTTATAAAAAAGAGGTAGTTTTGCCATGTAGGCATGCACATCATCTCTTTTTAATTAAATGATATAATAAATATTTAATTTAATAATTTAAAAAAATTAGAAACATAAAAAGAAAAATTAACTTACGCTATTTGTCTATCTTTTGTTGTCTTTTTCTTAATTTCTTAAAGTTCAAATACTCTCACAATTTAAAATCACGATCACTAGAAAAATTCTCTAGTATATTTATATTATCAATTAAGGTATTTTTCTAAATTCCGTTGTTTTTATTTATTTAATTGTGATAAAATTTTCTCTTAATTTTCTAGCGTATGTTAATAAGATTTACCGATTCTTCTTCACTTCCATTAGATAATAAATTGCACAAAACGACTCGCATTCTTATGAGTATTAAAAAAAGAATGCGAGTAAATCTTGTTTGTACAACGAGTATGGCTTTCGGAACGGGTATCGGGTGGATACCCCACAAGAGCATGATTTCCCCGCAACTGCGTCTTCATCTTCCCTTAGCACTCTCACCTTCCCATAATAAGATCCCAACTTTATTTCTTCTTCTTCTTCTATTTCGATTCAGCAACGAGTACCACTCGCCATCGATCCGATACCCTCCCAAGAGTTGCCAAAGAATTACGGGAGGAATAGGTCCGTTGTTGCTCTTGAGGGAGTCACCAAGCAACGGTACCACTCGCCTTTGTTATCCTTTCTACCCTATGAATTATGATCAATTAATGAGGGGCTAATCGGACTAAACTTGGGCGAGCAAACCCGAGGCACGTGAAAATTGTTAGTTTAAATTGATGACCACGATGCCCCAATAATTATAAAACTTATGTTGTCAAGTTCATGCACATAGTTTACAAGCCCACGAATTCGTGGTTTGAGTCTCATCAATGAGTCAATTGACAAAATCTCTTTGTCAAGTCCGCGGTATCTTTTATATATGCGAGGCTAGTACGGTAGTACTTTTAAGTCACAATGATGATGCGTGTAAAGATTTTCGGGAGTTGGGCATGGTTTGATATTTTTTTGGTTAGTTTTTCGTTGACGTAGAGAACAAATAAAAGAAATACTTCGCTGCTACGGGCGTTGATTTCCAAAGTTGTTCCTCCGGTACTTTTCATCAAACTCTTTTGATTTTATGCTGATTTACTATTGCATGATAAAATTTAATTACATTTCATGTCTCGCTGTTTTATAAAAGACGACACGAGTAAGTTTTCCGTCCTTTTCGTTCTACTCAATTTTTTTTTCCGAAAGTCGATCAATATAATAGATTGGAAAGAGCCAACAATAAAGTGGCAAAAAGAATACAAAATAAACAGAGGATTCCATGTATTAGCCTATAGTAAGAACTTGCACAAGCACAATGCTCGGGATCGAATTGCTCGCAAATAACTTTGTAAAATGACAACCTTTTCTCGCTTAAATGTTGTTAGTAATATGTTTGCTATCTTAATGTATATCTTTTACCGAATTAAATTTTATTTTTTGGTTTCTCCGTATGGTGGTAATAAACCTATTATTGAGAGGACATAACATGCTTTCTCTTTGATCTGCAGTCGTCTATCATAAATATGGGAACCTTTTTCTATACAATTGCCCGAAAGCAACGACTTATAAACAGAGTAAGAGATCTTTTCTCATCCACTCGAGGTTAATCTTCATTGTGCTCCATTCAAGTATAACAACACCTGCATTCTTATCTTGAATTTGGGAATATTGTACGGAGCAACTTGACTCGGCCAAAGCTATGCTAGAAAAGATGAATTCTACTTGATTACACCTAGTGCTTTGAAACCGGTCCTCTACTTTCTTGGTGAAAAAACATTCCAAGTAATGCCAACATTTTTCGTTACGGCTTTAAGAGTCGTAAAATGTCTTTAAACTCGGGAATTTGCGAAAAGGAACTATTATCGGTATTTGTTGACTAAAATTGTCAAGTAACGTAATGAGGCCCGACCATGTATTTTGATCCGGAGAGATGACCGAACGAAACAAAGTTCGTTTCTTCCTATGTTTGTCATTGGCTTCTCCATTTTCGGACATACATTTCGTATTAACCGATGTTTGATGGCTAAATTTGATTGTCATGCCAATTCGTAAAAGTACTTGTATATCAAAATAACACTCCCGATTATGATCCTCGTAAAATGATGTTGTCGTACCACATAGCACATTCATATTCCTTGGAAACACACTTGTAAAATTTTCACCGTCGGTGTAGATACCAAGAATCTTACGGAAAGGATCCAAGTTTACTAACTTGAATTCCCGAGAACATCATGTAATCTCTAAGGTAACCATTTATTTTTTCTATAAAGATGAAAAATTCAATTGATGTGGCATTCCTTCAAAAAATAAAGATTCAATTGTCATTTGACAACGTTATTTGCTTTAAACGAGCACCGAAGATATATTGTTGTCTTGATAACAACCAAAATCAAGCAAACAAAATAAAATCATCGAACTCATCACTTTACCGCCTCGATGAAAGCATAGACTATTACGCAACTTAACGACTCTATGCTCGTAAAAGCATATCCATCTAAATTAAAATAAAACATTATAGAATCTCATCCTTAGCCGATAAATCATCGAACTCAAAATAAAACATTTTTTGGGGAAAGACATGAATCCAAAAACTATCATCAAAGCAAAGCTCGTCGAGATATTCTTGCTTAAGCTCGTCATTGTTCTTGATACTCGCCATTAAGCAATTTTAATGAATCCGGGGTGGAAAAGAATCTCACGATCGACTTGCTCTTGTAAATATTGAAATATTTCGGAAAAATAAGCGACATTATCAAAGAATATAGGGCATTTCTTGAAGGAAGACAGTATCCAAAATACCATTATCAAAGCAAAGCACTTCGCTTTGGGACATCAAATTAAGAGATTCTCGTGGCCATTTCCAACGCAGTATATATATGGATGCAATCACGTCAAAGCATAAGCTCCTTTTGCATGCTTTTGGATTTCCCTTCTTTTCCCAACCAATCAATTACCGCCTACACATACCATACCCACAAACAATCCCGTTTTTACAGGTTGTGTTTTTCCTATGTGAAAACCGAGAGATGCTTGGACTCTAACTTGTTCTTTCTCGCACTGACCATGGCAAAGACTAAAAACAGTCTTCTCATTGGAAAAACAAAAGAGATTTTTCGATAATAAAGAGAAGATGAAGAACCTAGATTTAAGGATGATAAAATAATTTTTTAGAAAAAAAATAAAGATGATGTGTTAAATGACTCATTATTAGCATTAAAAAAACTTAAATGTGCACGAAATTTAGTCTACGTGACAAAAACTATCTTGTTTTAATAAATAAGATTAAAAGAACCTCATTGTTGTAAATAAGTTTTACAAGTAACTTGTTTTAAAAAAAAAACTCACATGTAACAGTTAGGTAACGGCCAGCAATTGACGGGGGTCTTTAAGGATAGTCATGTATCAAATCTTTTATTCAACGGAGGACTAGGACCTTGTCCAATTTTAAACTGTAGAGGGATTAAATTGAAATTAGTTTTGACCACGGGCAACTTGCTGGGCTGAGTCTGACAATTTTATTCATACTGGGCCTGGTTTGCAATTATCCATTCAGTGTATTGTTCGCTGAATAATGCTAATTTTAACAAAAACTCTACTTGAATACCCTTTCCCGGAAAGCTCATATGTGGGCCTTGCTTTTGGGTTAAACCATTTTTCATCAGTTAATAAATTCCAAACAAACTTAAGAATTCAGTTCCAAAGAAAAGAAAATAATAATAATTAAGAAGTTCATTAGACGTTAAACATTATGTCCAAAACTTTAAAAATTTCGGACAAATTCTTATAGAACAGGATTTTTCCACCAAAAAAGTAACAACTAAAATCTGTTGGTAATTAAACAGAACTCCACACTATTCTTGTGGCATGAACTTCCAAGTAGAAAGTGAAAGAATTGGTGTGCCCTTCCACCCGATCAGCAGGCTTTTCTCATCCATATCAAATGTACAAGAACTCCCAGAAGCAAATTTCTTAATGACAAAGTTTGCTTGATACAAGGACGCCTCACTCTGATCTGTCTCTACCATTCCAAACTGTGCGAAGAATTTTCTCCACACATCGATCTTCACATTTCGAATCTTCCTTTCCTCTCCCTCACTAGCCACAATATTCCTGATTCCTTCGCCCAAGTATATTGATTCTATAACCATTCTGATGTCTGAATCATTATGTTCCATACATGCATCAACACAATCAAAATATGCACTGAAGTAAAAAAGAGTTTCAATGAAACGATGAACAAAGACCCTTGAGTTGTGATTTGCCTCTACTTCAATCATCACCATTATACATGGATTGATGCTCCTGAAAAATTGCATTAAATGATCCAGCTGATTTGGCTGCCCAATCAGGCTCTTTAGTGCATATTCAGAGTAGATAGCTAATTCTTCATCAGCATCTAACTCAAATAGATCCTCTTTGAGAACAAGCATATCTGACACCATAACTATCTTAAAAGAAAAGGGTATGTTGATTGTCTGAGCAAAACTCTTTAAACGGTTACCTGTATCCTCAATATGTTTCTTTGAATTAGTCCCCACAGCAGTTATCTTGAGAAGCTCAAGAGGGCATTCATTTCGAGACGACGCTAAAGCTTGCATCAAGACAGTCCATTGCAGCCCATTCCTTATTTTCAGATCAATTAAGTGAATCCTCTTTGTCTCTGCCATATTCTCTGCAATGGCTTGGGTTCCAGCAAAGTGTGGAACCTGGTAGAATGGAATTCCTTCGTGGCATGCCTGGATAGTGGGATTAGGAATCATCACTGCCTCATCGACATCAAATACCTCACTCTCCAGACCCTGAGATGCCTCTCTTCCTGTTTCTCGATCAATTCTCTTTCGAAGAGCCTCAGAAAAATAATGAACTACTCTTTGAACTGGATTTCCATTATTGGAAGACAAGAGATCACATTGATTTAGCAATTTTCTGGCACGGTCATATTGTTGATTGCCTACTTTTTCAGCAGAAGCCAGTAGGGTTTCAGCAAGCTCTACATTTTTGGTCTCCTCATCAGAAAGACCAGAGAAACAAAGATCAAAAGGATTGTTAAGCATTGAACCAACATCAGCCTTTCGGGTACAAGACTGAATAAACTTCGCTCCAGCAATTCTCATGATTTCTTCAGTTGACAACTTCTTGCCTGCCAAATCTGCTTTGCTTGGTTCAATGTTCAAACGTCTTCGACCTTCCGTATAATCCTTTAGCAGGTCAAGTGAGGATGAAGAAAACGGATGTTCATTGTGCTTCTTGGGGTCAACAATATCTTCAATTTCCTCCTGAATTTCTCGAAGCATAGCGATTTGATTCGGACAAGCTGGAAGCAGTGGATCAAGGACATTGAACTTTCGATCTTCAAACGATCTGTGATCCAAAAATGGCTCTTTCTGCTGCTCTAGTTGCTCAAACTTGGAGAACCTGCATCCTCCTCCCGAGGACTCTTTGTGAGGAAGTACATAATCAGAAGAAAAGCAATCAATACCCCCATTTCCAAACTCTTCCCAGTCATCCACTCCACATTCCCCTTTATTCATTCCTTCCATAATCACACACCACAAAAAATGAACTCTTAGGAGGAAAACAAGCTCAGTGTGTTTTGTTTTCACCAGAAGTAAATGCTCGTAGTTTAGTTTCTCAGTTCTAGTTGTGTATATTAATTATTACAAGGTACTAGTTTTACTAATCAATCAACATCGCAGTAGTTGGACAAGAAGACAGAACAGTTCTAGACATCTCACACCAAATGCCCTATCGAGAGGGAACATTTCTCATTATAATATGGTGCAATGACTGATTTCTCACTAAATGTAATCAAACATGGTTATTTGGAAGCTGACAGATTGATGGAATCGAGGCATCTAGCCCTCGGTTCAATACTTTTGGGCCCCATTTGGGTATGATCTAGCAAACCAAAAGGGAATGCTTTCAAGGATCCAAATCAGGGCAACATCACATTTTAAGAACCTTTCAAACGATCCAAGGAAATACAGCCAACAAAAACAAAGGCTAAACAACATAGAGTAGAGGTTGATTAACTAAACGATCCACTAGAAAGATTGGATATTCGTTATTAATAACTGTCGGCACAAGGAAAACTTTAACTAAACAGAATAGAGAAGGTACAATGAAGGTTAACAACTGCTTTGCTTGGATTGTTCTCTCTTTCTTGATGTAAAATAAACTTGTTCCTATTTTGACAACTAGAGAGGTTGGACAGAGTCACGGCCACAGGATATCTAGATCAGTAAACACACTGTCTATACTCGGTAAAATGAGGAGATGCATGGAATTATTGAACCTGCGTCTTGAAATTCAGATTTATTGTTTGTTCTTGGCAAATGAACTTTGAGGCAGAAAGAGAATATATTGTACTCTGAGCACCTTCCACCCACTGGCTTTTACCAATTCAAGCTTAAAACAGCAAGCATTAGCAAACATCCACACTTAAAACCAAATTACTTTAACTTAATCAATCAAACAATGCCTTTAAATTTAACAAGTCAGGCTTGTAAATTCGAATGCATCACTCGAAACTAAAATTGTAAATCCCGTTCACTAACTTTCATAGAAGTTGAAGCAGCAGAACATTCTAGAGCATAAAATCGCCAATGATGATACTAATTTGAAGGTTAAACATCAATTTTCCCCTTATTTTGATCCAGAATTCTCAATATTGTTCAGAACTGGAGGTACAACCCTCAATACGAAACTTGTGTCTTTATTTAGCAAGCTAGCGTTTGCATGTTTATTTATTTATAGACATATAAGTATAACATTGCAGTTTTTCAATTGAAAAAAAAAAAACAGAATCTAGGTACAGCATTTTATTTTGCTATATAAAATAGAGTACATACGAGCATAGATATTGGTTTCACTTTGGAACGCGAAAGTAAAGAGGAACGGGATTAAGAGAAGGTGGAGGCGAGTCCCAAACAGAGAAAGCACTTGCTGAGTTCATCCATTTCGCTGTCATTTCTGGATAATGACGATCAAGTACATCTTTCAGACTTTCTGTTGAATTCACCCATTCAAATCCTTTCTTTGTGTATGTTTCCTCATTAAAATTGCTCGTGAAGAACCTATCTGCTTCTAGCCTCCTGCATGTCCATCCCAATGGTTATCAAAACTTATTATATGTACACAAATGATGAAGTATAGACCTCATGAATAATAAATAATTGGTTTTCATGAAAAGAAGATCAGATAGACAAATCTCTCATTTCAACCGATTTTATATTACTAATAATTTCTTATATAGAGAAATAGATAGATATATAAAATCAGACGAATTGGGGTTGGATAGCTTAACATGTACGCATGGGAAGAGTACTCTAACATTACTATAACGTATATGATCAATTTACCTGGTTGCCATGAGAAGGAATATAATAAAAGCAGTCTCACTAATGGCAAATCCTTTGATTTTCTTCTCTGCCATGAGTCCCACTAGAAGATCGAGGTCTTCCACTTCATTGCCATATACTTGATCAAGAGCTTCTATCACCTCCTGATCATCTGTTAGATCTTCCCATTTTGAGATGGGTATCAATAATAGGGCCCGACGAAATTCATTGTACCTTGCAACATTCCTCTCCCTGTCCCTATAAACTGTGCAACAATTCATTCTCCGTCAAACCAAATAGTTATATTAATTAGTTCCACATGAGTTACATGCATGCAGAATAATGCAAGTGAAAATTACTTTGACTTTCGGAATAATCGCAAACACCATTCAATATTTTGAAAATATTACAAAAACCATATATATATATAATGTTAAAAAAGTATATTGTAAAAATTAATAAGGACATTTTGGGAAAAAAAAAACTGTAGCATTTTCTTAAAGGTGGAATGAATGCTATCAGATTTTTAAGTTTTGGATAGTTTCTATAATGAATTTTTAAACTTTTAAATAGTTTGTATAATTTTATTAAGCAGAAGTTGTTCTAATCTAACCATATCGAACAACGACTATATGATTGGCGAACGTTACCTTCAAGAGCTGGAAGGTCTACATGATCAGGCCGATCCATACCACCAACATCCTGTGGTACCAGGTCCCTGAGCCACATGGGATAATTCCACGGTTCCAATGCTCCAGAAGCTTGGTGGCCCATTGAAACCATTAGTTTGATAAATCCAATTCCTGATGATCTTTTTTCTCCTTCACGACCTATCAAACTTGGCATAGGTATCCTGTGTATGCATGCACAAAATCAACAAAAACACAACTTTTCTCCATATTTATCTTCCTTCTTCTTAAGTACCGTAATTAATCATGGATACATTATAACTACATTTAAGTACCTTTCTTATCAGTCTAATCTCAATCATTTTAAGAAAGAATGGTCAATGTAGTTATCAAAATGGGTGTTGCTGTTTTTGTAAAGTAAGAATGATCAGATCAAGAATACTTGGAGTCTTTTTCCTTCTGCTTTGTTCATAAATTAAGCTTTTGTCTAACTTTTAAGAGCACAAATGTTTGGTAAAGAACTTGTTTATATGTATATATATACTATAAAAACAAATTAATGGGAGAGTTTTTCCTTGCCTTTAGGCACAAAAGAATCTAACTTAGTTTCGATGTATTTTATTTATTTATTGACAAAAAGAAAAATAGAAATGAAATGATAAATCCATTTTATCAAAATTAATAAAAAGCAACTAGAATTTTACTTTTCAGTTGGAGGTGGAGATTTGTTGGTATCGGGTGCAGCTGATGTGTCTCTGAGTTGAAGGTAATCAGGTAGAAGTGAGTGCATTCTGTAAACACTAACAAACTCCTCAGTTAATGAATAGGGAACACCATGGTTGTCAGGCTTCTTAAGACCCACAACACCTCCTAAGATAGCTCCTCCAACATGACCAAACTTGTCCTTGAATTTTTTCCCCAACAATCCATACCTGAAAATATAAATTAGGGACAAGAATAAATTAAATTTTGATCGTGACTGGTATTATTTTGCTATTACATGTGTACATATATGTAGTATTCTTTTTATATCTATTATAAAATATTTATTTTGTCAAAATTTTAAGTAGTGTATTATTTTTTTAAATACTCCAAATTAAAGCTAAAATATGGGTCAAATCTCTTCTTAATTTTAGTATATTTTAAAATCAGTTTTTGAACTTTTAATTTTGGATTTGAACTCTTCTAAATTTTATTATTATTTTTTAGATTAATCCATTCTCTATTTTTTTATATAAAAAAATAACAATCATATAAATAGTTTTATGATGGAAATCATTTAGTAAAATTTATTTAGTACTCCCCAAAAAATTTAAAATCATTCTGGATTACTTTCTAATTTTTTAAATTTGTAATGTTCAAGAAAATAAAATAATATATTTCTCAATCTTGAAAAAACTTAAAGATTTTTTTATAAAATAGATTGAATTTTTTCTAAGACCTATACAAAATTTCAACTTAAAATACCAAGAATTAATTTTTTAAAAGGAGAGTTGTAGCTGAAAAATCATAGAAAGACTACATCTTTAAAAAATAAAGTTTAGTGAAGGTGAAATTCAAAATTAGAATTTTAGCGACTGGTTTTTAAATAAACTAAAATTTTAAAAAAGTTTAGCCAATTTAGCCTCTAATTAATATTAATTTCATATCATGGAGGATTGAATTTGATATAATTCTAAAAAATATATACTTAAAAAAAAATAATGATATATCATGACAATTATATATATACACTTGTGAGTTTTTTTATCTCTAACAAGTAACAACCCATATTCTGGAAACCAGAGGTATGCATACCAATTGCCTCGCATTCCTGCTAATAGTGTGTCGGTCTTGAGAAGTTCAACAGTCCAATCGATGGTATGGACCTTAGCGATTACAGCAGAAGTCACTAGTCTTGCATGCCGGTATAGTTCTTCGTCTCCCAAGTGCTTATTTTCCCTCTAAAACAGCATTGAAAATTAATTAATTAATCTATATAGTCCCATGACATAAAATGCAGCTGAAATTCTGACAGATGTCATCACAATTTGTTTGGTACCATTTCATGTGACATGAAGTTTGGGCCCTCCAGGTTAGAATTTCTACCAAATATGGGCCTCTCTTCCTATTAACATAAAGGCTCTAGGCCCAACATAAAACAGGTAATTATAATACCTCCACATATTCTACTACTACTGTATAAACTCTCTCTCTCTCTCTCTCTCACATTAAACAGGAAAACATCCCCTGGCCTAATGCCCTTATCGCTGCCAATTATTCTCTACTTATCATTTTCTCCTCGACCCCTCAAACCTAACGTTTTGACTTCATGCTGACATGATCTATGAGGCATCAGCAATATTTTACAACCCGTTAAAGAAGCTGACATGGATAATCCATATAGATACCCAAAACCTTGGGCAACATCATCATTACGGTTTCATTTCATTTCTTTTTCTGTTTTGGATTTTTTGTTGTTAAAAAATAAAACTAGAAAATACTACCACGACTTTTAAAACCCATTTTGTTGGCCATCAAAATTTTTGGCAATCGGTTGTTGAAAAAATACAAACAAAATTATCAGAATTCTGAAAACAAAATCACAAGTGTAAATAATACGGATCATCATTTTACAATTAATGACATACCTTGATGGCGTCACAAACTGCATTATGCTCTTTAACGAACAGGGCTTGCAACACGGAAACACCCGCCCAACTATTGCGAACATCTCCTGAAACAGCAATCCCATCTTGGTCACGGAGGAGAAGGCCATCCTCAGATATCTTGAGCTTCCCATCTTTGAAAGTCCTAACCTTATGCAATGCTTTTGCGTTGCTCCCATATATAGCACTCCCATCCCTTCATATATTTGTTAGAATGTATCAAATTCTTATCTAGTTTTTCAAATCTGTACTATTTTGAAAAAATATTGTGAGTGGTGCTATCTAGCAAGAGATTTGTTCTGCGGATGAATGTCTTACTATAATTTGTATTGCAACTGATAGAAAAGCCATCAAAATCGAAATGTCACACAAGTTCAAGGGCTAATTTAATTTATCTTTATTCCTCTAGAAAATTATGATTCCATCACTTTTTAATTAACAATTTATTGAGAATATTCCAATATTTGTGATTCATATTAATTAGTACAAGTTGAAGACCCGTTACCCGTGAGTGCATTTCAAATTGGTCTTTTTTGTTTTTAACATATTGGAGGAATTATTTCTTATATATATATGGCCTATGGGTGTCTTCATAGAAAACTATTGTGAAAATTTTTCATACATCACAACATGTCTTTTATAATTCATTATTTTTTTATAGATATAAAAATATTAATTAAGCATAAATATAATTGATGTAATATGATATCAAAGGGCATCTATTGAAACCTTCCACATTATATATTAAAAAAAAATCCATTGACCAAGCTTTTTTTCCTATTAATTTATATATCTATTTAAATTAACCATATGAAAATCTCTACATAAAATTATTGTCCAAATTAATGCAATGTGTATTTGCATCTTTTCTTCCACAATTTATTGCCTTTTGTACCTTCTAAAAAAAACTGAAATTAACTATCTTAACCCTACTTTCATGAAATAAAACATGAGCATTTTAACATTTTATATGACAAACTAAATGGAACTTAATCAAGTGCCCACGTCAGAGTGGTTAAGTATGCGTGATTGATCCATGATTTTAATTTATTGAATTCACTACAAGTAGTAAAATCATAATTGTTTTTAAACACCGAAAATTATACCACCAAGGTGTTCGGATATTCAATGCTCCAGTCTTGATCTCCCAGGATCCAGTGGGAAGCTCCTTTGTCCTGTAAAACTTGAAAGATTTAAGTGGGCATTGATTTGCAACTTCCTTCGGTGCAACAAGCTCAATCTGCAATATTAAGTTATTGGTTAAAACGAAAAAACATTTTATTCACCCTTCTGATCTTTTGATGTAAAAATCAAAACTATATATATGTACACACACTCATAAGGTACCTGCTCGGTTTCTTCCATGTGATCAATCCAGTCATGTATCATAAACTGAATCCAAGAAGCTGCTATCATGTTGAATTGCTTTCCTGTGTCTATGAATTTTTTCCGAGCAAGTAGTCTTGTGGCAACAACTATGGGGTCTGGCTTCTTTAGCTACATAATTTTGATGTCGTGTGATGTAAGAAGAGCATGCACTTGACAAAATATATAATATATACACAGATAGATAAATCTTTGATTATTAATTTATCTGAAGAAAATGATATCTTATTTAAATTTCTTGTAAAAAAATTCAAGAAAATATAGTATTATTATATTTTTCTTTTTATGATAACATTTTTGGCATCACCTATGGTTATTGTAAGACAAATACAATCTGGTACTAAAAAAAATAAAGGGATAATTGCATTATAAGTATATTAATTTTTATCTTATTTTTTTTTCAATCAAGTACATAAATATTGTTAGATCCTTTTAGCTTTATATTACTTTTGTCAATTACTGTTAGAGATAATAAAAAACATTCTTAGACTTTACCTAAAAATTTAAGTTCTTAAATTGAAATGATGATTTGATCATATGATATTATAAGTTTTGATAATTAAACAGTCAAGAATTCAAATATATTTAATTAAATTAAAAATTAAGGAAAAAGTAGTGGTAGATCTAAATAAATTTTATGTCAAAAAAATGAAATTATAATCATAATTTTATTTGAATTCACTTAAGATTTAGAATAATGGTATAAAATAAAAAACAAAAAATTACAATCATAACTATTTTAAGTTAGAAAAAAAAAACACACACGCACACATTCAAGATACTATTATGAAAGGTTTTTTTTTTTTTTTTGGGAAATCTAAATGAAAAAGCAAAACACCGGTTGAATGATAATTTTTTAAATACAGAAAGAGGGTAATGTAAATACCAAAATTTAATAGTAACTTTTGGAAGAGAAATTATAAAAGTGGACTTAGTGGATATTAAAAACATGATAGAACTAATTTAGTCTATATGAAATAATATACAATATTTACGTTTATTATGGGGGGAAGAAACTCTAATTAATTAATGTTCTTAATTAGAAAAAATTCAAGAAAAAACTAATTGTCATTACCATTTCTTAGGGGTCATTATATATGAGGAACATATACCTTATCTTGTTGATTTACTGGGAGAACGTTTCTACCAAAGAAAGTTCCTTGGCTTCCTCCACCTTCGTTGAAGGGCTCGTTATATTTTCCATCAGGTGTTCTATATGGATAATCAGCTGGGTTATAGCGAACTCCAACAGGGGATCTCCCAACGTTGAACAAGTTGTACTCCTGGTGAAGATGTCTGCGTATACTCAAATAAAGGAGGCCTAAAAGGACTGGTAACCGATGCCATATGCGCAGCTTATCAATGGAGTGCACAATCTGCACATGTAAAATGTAAATATACAATACTGTAAACATGCAGGGATAAATAAAATAAAAAAAGGGATGTGTGGTGTAAAAACCAGTGATATCCTTTAATACTAGCCATATTTCATATACAAGAGAGAGATATAGGATTTTACAAGGAAAAGAAAAGCATCAATAATGGTCATCCTAGCCACAACTTCATGGAAGTCATGGTGGACGAAACGACGGAGAGATGAACTTGATAGAGTTTTAATTGAATCCATGAGGCCAAACATGTTTGCTTCTTTAGAATATACAAACTCTGTTAGCTAGCTTGAGAGTTGATGTGCTCCACGCACTCCCTTCTGCTCTATTTATTACTCCTGCAAGCGTCAGGCCACCAGAAGGCGGCTATGCTAAATATCTTTCCTTCGTACATCGATGACTATTGCTCCATGTACGAACGTGACTTTTTGATGAATTTTTTTTTTTCTTCCTAATATCCGTCTAAGTCATCTTAAAAGATTTAGATTAATTTTTTATTATTCTATCAAAAATATAAAACCAGAATAATTATCCAATAAGCTTTTTTATATATGAAGAGTCGAATTCAAAATAATTTATTTAAACGGTTGGAGATTTTTTTACTTAAACTTATAATATTTTATGATAAATCTAATTTATTTAATTGCACTCTTGACTCGTTATCTCTGTGTGTGTTTTTTTTTTTTTAACTATCCTCACAATTACACCCTTGAATACAATCGCGTCTGCTTCTCTCTATTCTCTTCTTCAACCCAAGCCACAATAAATGATATAACCTCACCCAATCTAGAAAATGACTCAACTCATCTCATTTTAATTTTAAAATTCCATTCTCACAATATTGATACATCATGTGCACTCATAGCAATGTTGATTACTACTATTCTCTCATTTATGGTGTAGTCACAATTTTTTTTTTTTTCAGGGTCAATTAGGGACTCTTGTCTGCAATGGATAATCAAGTTGCCAATTATAACCAATTTGACTTATTCATGTTACTATCATATAAAAAATAAAAATCAAACTCATAATACACGGGACATATAAAATAAATAAAATTAAAATTAAAGTAAATTCTATTCTACAAAAAAAGAAATTCAGAATTAAATTAATCATTCAGCTTTACCTTATGTCCCTAATTTGAAGATCAAAAGTTTGAAATTTTAATTTGAAAAAAAAAAAATTGAAAAGTAACAAAGAACGGAGAATTAAATAGAAGAGAGGACTTAAGTGACTAAGCTATGACTTTTTCTCAGGAACTTAAATGGACAATATAATGTATCTTAAAAAAAAAAAAAGGCATGATTGAATAATTTGCTAAGCCGCAGGATATGATTTTTAGTTTTATACCATGAAAGGATTCTTTAATTTAAAAAACAAAATTCAACACAAGTTTTTTAAAAGGAAAGTGGTGATTTTGTGTTTGCTATGCAAGGTAAAATGCTTGCAAATGAAAGAAAAAATATTATAATTTAATGTTTACTTGATACCATTTAATTAAGATTTTTTTTAAAGGAAAGTGGTGATTTTGTGTCTGACGTGCAAGGTAAAATGCTTGCAAGTGAAAGAAAAAAATATTCTAATTTAATGTTCACTTGGTACTATATTAAGAGAGCTACATGTGAGCAGTTCTTTTCTTTAATTATTTCTATTATAACTAATACAGTTAGTTAGAAGTTAGTTCTTTCTTTTCCAATTAGTCTTTTCCTTTCTTCTTCCTCTGCCTGTATAAATACACAGTAAGCTTAGAAGAGAAGTTAGATTTTGCATATATAACAAAGAGGAGAGTTGAGTTTTTTCTTCTCTTTCTATCTTTCTTTCAAGCTTTTTTCTGTATTCAAACATAATATTTAATTAAGATTTTTTTTGGAAGGAAAGTGGTGATTTAATTTGTGTCTGCTATGCAAGGTAAAATGCTTGCAAATGAAAGAAAAATATTCTAAGTTAATGTTCACTTGGTACTATTTAATTAAGATCTTTATTTTAAGGAAAGTACGTGGTGGCATCTTAAATAGAACGGCGAATTAAACAGAAGAGAGGGCCTCAATAACGAAGCTATGACTTTTTCTCAGGAACTTAAATGGACAATATAATATATCTTTAAAAAAAGGCATGATTGAATAATTTCTAAGTCGTAGGATATGATTTTTAGCTTTATACTATGAAAGGATTCTTTAATTTTAAAGAATTTTTCAACGCTAGTTTTTAGAAGGAAAGTGGTGATTTTTTTCTCTATGCAAGGTCAATTGCTTGCAAATGAAAGAAAAAATATTATAATTTAATGTTCACTTGGTACTATTTAATTAAGATCTTTTCTTAAAGGAAAGCGGTGGCATCTTAAATAGAACGGCGAATTAAATATAAGAGAGGGCTTAAGTAACCAAGCTATGACTTTTTCTCAGGAACTTAAATGGACAATATAATATATCTTTGAAAAAAAAATGGCATGATTGAATAATTTTCTAATTCGTAGGATATGACTTTTAGTTTTATACTGTGAAAGGATTCTTTAATTTTAAAGAATCTTTCAACACTATTTTTTAAAAGGAAAGTGGTGATTTTTTTTTTCTCTATGCAAGGTAAAATGCTTGCAAATGAAGGAAAAAATATTCTAATTTAATGTTCACTTGGTACTATTTAATTAAGATCTTTAAAAAAAAGAGTGGTGATTTTGTGTCTGCTATGCAAGGTAAAATGCTTGCAAATGAAAGAAAAAATATTCTAATTTAATGTTCACTTGGTACTATTTAATTAAGATTTTTTTTTTTTTTTTAATCCAGGGACGTAGACAGCTCTCTGCAATAAGCAGGCATCGCTAGCGTCTTTCATCTTTATGTGGCTGATTGAGATTTTCCTCTCTCGCGCTGCAATTTTGTAATTTTTATAAACATAAATTTCAAGTTAAATGCAAATAAAATTATTTGATTTATCTTGGGAAGCTGAGGAATTCTACCATTATAGATTAATCGATAACAACGAAGTCCACTAAAATTATTTGATTTTTTTAGTTAAAAATCAAATTAAAATTAATATTTCGATTTAATTTTTCAATTTAAATCCAACAGTGTTCATTTCCAACTATTTGTAGCTTAAGCAAAGATAGTGAATAGCAAAGAAAATCTAAAAAAGTTTTCAATGAAGAGGAAATAGCCTAACATAGTTAATTCATTATGAATTTGAAGCTGCCAAGGATTCCTCCGATCAAATTAGTTTAGCTGCGTGAAGATAATTATGGTTGATAGATTGAGGTGGGATTTCGACAATTGTGGTTGCTTGGCATTGTGGGAATGAATTTTGTAGTAGCATCATAACATCTGATAAATTTTATAATACTCAATAAGTAAAATTACCTTATTTGTTATTATTCATAAGATTGAAATTTAAAAAATTAGTCATAATGGGCTGGGGCGTTTTCTCGGTAAGTGGTGGTTAGGTGGTGTGAGTTTGAGTAAGGAGAAAACTACATTTTGAATTACTTTTTTTTTTTTTTTGAGTGTTTAACTAGTAGATCCTTCAATATGAGTGCTTAATTTTTATTTTTATTTTTATTTTTCTATATGAGTATTTATAGATACTTACGATTGAAAAATATTGATATGTTTGAGATAAACTTTCACGTGATAAAAAATAAATTCTACTTGATTAAATTATTTAGAAAAAAAATACAATTTTAGTACTCAACTTTTGATTTTTTTTTTTTTTTTTGAGTGTCCAATGAAGACGAGACAAAGGAGAAATTTTTTTTTTAAAGAACGAGGTACTAGGAAAATTGAAAAAAAGAGCTGATGGGCGTGCTTGTGAAAAATTAAAATGAAGAACAAAAGGTTAGGATTAATTTGAATTAGGAATTTTGTTGTAATCGGGGTATATTGGAGATGACATGTCTTTCAAGTTTTGTAACTGATTTTTCACGTCACTATTTACGTGGATCTTATGTGACATTTAAAGTTTTGTAATTGATTTTTCACCTGTCATGTCGGCATTGTTTGAAATTTTAATCGGAAAATTAGATTTACGCTAGTATTGTTATCGAAGGTTTAATTGGTGATTTTTCTATACAAAGTTTAAAAAACGAGTTAAAATTATTAAAAAATATATAGTTCATGATTTTCTAAAACATTAAGCTTTTTTAATTTACATAAAGTTTTATTTTTATAAACAATATATTCAGATTTGTTAATTTTTCAAATCACTGCTATTAGTTTTACCATCATTAAATGGCCCCACTTAAAGGACAGGTGATGCGGAGAAATTTAGCATGGATGTGAGGTACAGAGTGCAAAAAAATTATAAAATACAATGGTCACATTAACAAATTTAATTAACTAGGGACTAAGTTAACAAAATCAAAATAGGAGAGGGATGAACTAAGGCAATTTAACCAACAAACTTCATTTAGCTCAACCCCACTTCCTTTCCAACGACCCTCATAACCTGTTTTCAACCTATATCATGAAAAAAATAAAAAAATAAAAAAATAAAAAGAAGGAAGAAGAAGAAGAAAAAAGGGCAATGCGAACGATTTATACAAAACACAAACTATAAGATAAAAGGAAACTCGTCACAATTCACAGCAGATGGTTAAAGTGGTTAAACTATGTCATATAACTCATTTCCATGATGTCTGAAGTTTAATAGTCTTCTTGATATATGGAACCTGAAAAGTCTATACATTTTAAGATTTAGGATCCAGAATCATGATATTAATTCCCACCCAAAGCTGTAAAACAAACCAAACTATTTAAACTTAATTCAAATTCGACTTCATAAAATATTTATTCAACCTTAATCATCAAGTAACCAAATCAAACTTGATTATGATTTTAAATTTCGATCATTTTTGCAAACAAGTTCGAGCAATTACCACTCGACTGCAAAATACACGTAAAATGAAGTATTAAATTATTTTAACATTCAAATTGAGGCTAATATATAGTGTTGAGCTAAAAGAATTAATTTTAAAAATAGTCATATTTATTTGAATTTTTATATTCTTGAACAAACTCAAACTCAGTTGAAAAAAAATAAAAAAACCAATATCGAATACTATTTTGATGGTCGAACTAAATTTAACATACAACTTAACTCGGCTAGATTACAATGCTATTTTCATCAAAATAATTGAATATAGATGGATTCTTCGATTATCTTTAAAAAAAATTATATTAAAATCAAAAGTGATTAGGATCATTGAAAGAATAATATAATTTATATATTAAAATATCATTTAATAATTTAAAATTTGAAATGA